AGTTGCTTGAGCATCCTTATAACCAGTGTTTTGAACTCTGCATCTGATAGATTTCTTACCTCCATTTCGTTTTGCACTTTGTTTTTCACTTTTCTGGAGTTTTGATCTGTTATTTCATTTGGGCCATGCTTCTTTGTCTCCTTGTTTTTGGCAGCCTCCCTGTGTTTGTTTCTATGTATTAGGTAGAGCTGCTTTGACTCCATGTCTTGGTAGAGTGGCCTAATGTGGTGGGTGTCCTGTAGGGTTCAGTGGCACAGCCTCCCCTATCACCCAGGCTGGGTACTAAGGTGTGCCCTTTGTGTGAGCTGAGTAGGTCCTCCTCTTGTACTTGATCCTTAATTGCTTTTGGCAGGTCGATGGGAGGGATTTACGCAGGCCAGTCAGCTGCAAGGATTGTCTGTGACCACTGATCCCCAACCTCCACCCTCAGTTAGAGGATCCGCTGTGCAGGGCCAGGATGGTGGCGCTCCAAATTGGCCTGTGGCTGTCCACTGGGTGCACTGGCCCTGGTTCCTGGGTGGTGCAGGCCAAGGTCAGCCCCCACCTGTGTGTTGTCCAGGGCCACCGTGCCTAAGCTATAAAGCAATCTAGGAAGGCTGCAACTTGTGCAGGGTTTGGAGATTCCCAGGCAAACACAAGCTGTGAACCTAATCTAACTGCGGCTGGTGTGGGGGCCTGGAGCTCACCAAGGACAGCTGATGCTTGTTTGAGAGGATTTAGGAAGCTGTGAGCAGGAGCCAAGACCAGCCACTCATTTGGAGAAACAGCTTGTGTGGGCCTATAAGTTCAGTGGGTCAGAGTCTCTGGGGATCTCCTAAGGGAGGCAGACAGTGTCAGCCAGGCTGATGGAGTCTCAGATATGACTCCATGCCAGCTCCATGGCTCTTCCAGGGGAAGGCTCAGAAAAGGGACGGTGGCCTCTGCTCACCCCAATGCCAGACACTTCAGCCTCTCCCAGTATGCCACTGGTTCCCTTCGAGCTGCCACCCAGCACTGGAGCTCAGAGGGAGTGAGTCTGAGTAGGTGAGTCCATGTGTGTGTTCTTTAAAAGGAACTGCCTGGGGCTCCGGAAGTTTCTTCCACCAACCCAATCCCCACTGGATTTTGCAGCCAGAAGTTGTGGGGACTTATCTTCCTGGCAGTGGAATCCTGGGCTGGGGGGCCTGGTTTGGGGCTCAGTCCGCTCATTCCTAAAATATCCCTCCCAAATTTTTATCCCTCACATGTGGGTGGGAGACCAGTCTATTTCACGTCTGCACCCCCTCCTACCAGTCTGGATGGATGTGGTTTCTTTAATTCTGTAGTTGTCAGACTTCCATTAAACTCAGTTTCTTACAGTTCTGAGTGATGGTTGTTCTATATTTTAGATGTAATTTTGATGTGGTTGTGCAAAGAGGTAAGCCATGTCTGCCTACACTGCCATCTTGACCAGAAGCCCACAATTTATTGATTTAGAACAGGGATGTCCAAACTCATTTTCACCAGGGGCCACATCAGCCTCATGGTTGCCTTCATAGAGCCAAAATAATTTTAGGACTGTGTAAATGTAGTTACTCCTTAACTGTTAAGGAGTTGAAATTACATTCGGCCCTTTGAAGGCAACCACAAGGCTGATGTGGCCCCTGGTGAAAATGAGTTTGACACCCCTGCTTTAGAGAGAGAGGAATAGGGAGGGGGAGAAAACGAATATCAGTTTGTTGTTCCACTTACTTATGCATTCATCGGTTGAGTCTTGAATGTGCTCTGACTGAGAATTGAACCTGCAACCTTGGCCTATTGGGATGATACTCTAGCCAACCGAGCTACCCAGTCATGGCCTGAAATAATTTTTTATTATCATACTATGTTTTATAAATAAAGACCATAAAGAGACTCAGAGACATTACCTCCCCAAATTCATACAGCTAGTGGGTGACAAGAGGTAGAATATGAACCAAGGATTCCCATACTTCAAAGCTAATACCCTTTGGAAGTAAGTGTGCATAATAAAATCTGGAATTATGAGACTGTTACATACCAAGAACTTGGTGAAAAGTCAAAGAAGGGTTACTGTCAGAAATAGAAATCAGAACCATTTACTGTTGTACATTTTCACACAACCATTTCATTGTATCCTTCTAATAGCCCTGTGAGCTGACAGTGTAAATTTAAATTTTATACTTGTTTATCTCAAGTATGGAAAGTTGTTTGCCTATATCTAAAATTGACTTATCTCACAAACCCCCTTTCCAGTGGCCCCTCCAAACCCTAGGTCCCTGTCACCACCACCACCATTTCCACAGAAAGAGGAAAACTCCGTCTTACCAATTGGTAGTTGCTTGTTCATTTCTGAAATAAAATTGAGTCACTTTAGGCTTTCACCTAAGACTCTCCCCTACCCCTTATTTTCTCCTTCCCTTCTACTCTTCCTCAAGTTCCTGGGGAGACCCGTATCATTCTGGCATTGGTGGTAAGTATGGGGTTCCACAGTCTCCTCTCTGCTTGCTGGTCTCTGCCCAGTTGCTGCTTGGCCCTTGGCATGTTGGCCACGTGCCAGCACCTACTGTAGTGTAGTTCCCCCTGCTGGGCCCCTGGACTTCATGCACTGGACGTGCTGCCACAGTTTTTGCCATGGCCTCCAGTTGGGGGGTTTGTGCTCCCTTTGCTTCATTTTTTTAAACCTCAGTCTCCTCTGCGTCTGCCAGATCAGTCTTGGCCATTTTTGCAACCCTCTCATACATAGCAGAGGCTTCAGTAACTTTTCAGGTGCTCTGCCACAATACACGCAACACTTTGGCATCTTGAAACCCAAAGATGTCTTCAGACAACCCTCCCTGGCACCTTCCTCAGTCATTGCCTTCTGTACTCTGTGCTCAGACACCTTGATGCTCTCTCCTGCCTGGTGGCCAGTATCTTATTTCCTCTGCATGGGAAAACATCTGTTATATCCTCTTGCATTTTTGTGTACTCTATAGTTTTCATGCCATAAGCTTTATAATAAGAGTATATAAGGCAGTTCTGTATATACTGAAATGATCAGTTGACAAAACATGAAGAAAGCAAAGTATAGAACAATGTGCATAACTTGCTCCATTTCTGTAAATGCAAGTGCAGATATGGCAAAGCATTAACCACTTCTGAAAAGATACAAGAATCTGGTATCAGTGGTTGCCTTTGGGGAGGGAAAACAGGTGCCTGGGGAAGAAGACACCTGGAAAGGAAATTTTTCATTGCCTTTTAATATCTTCCAGTTCTGGATTATGGAAATAATTTATTCAAGAAACAAATAAGAGATCAATATAAAACATCTGTTATTGGTCTTCTTCAATCCTACCAGGCTCCATATCTGATTCTTAGCCACGAAGCAGCTTTTTTGGCGAAGCTGTCCTTTCCTCCTCTGCTTTCTGATGTTCCCCTCCTACTGGTAGAACTTTACTGAAGGCTGCCTGAAGTAGCAACCTATTCTCACATTCTGAATTTTTTCCTTCTAGTATAAGGGGAAATAATTGAATAGGAAGATGGTCTGAGTCCCACATGTAATGGATGAGAGTTTAGCTGTTTTGCTAACTTACCAGACTGAGACAGAGGGGTCCTCATTGCCCTTCACTTAACGTTTTTGGGCAGTCAGGGCTGTATTTTAGGGTCTGTTATTTGTAAGAATTTTTGTTACCTGCAGGCTTGCCACACTGAGTAGGTATTTAATAAATTATGATGAATGTAAATACATGAATAATTTCACCTATAAGAACAAACCACCTAAGTTAATTTTAAATGTATTAATAGAGATTTTCAAAGTCTCGATTTAAATTTTTCCAACCGTCCATTAAATATAGCTTATCCTTTACCCCCAATCCAAAAGCCAAATAAGGATCATATAGCCAAATAAGGATGATTGTATTCAGTAGTCCTATCCATTTAATTGCCTTTAATCTAAAAAATATATATTTCCCAGCCTTTTTGGGTCACGACATTGACATTTTTTTTTAAGTCTGGGCCAGCCCTGACCAGCATGGCTCAGTTGGTTGGACATCGTCCCACAAAGCAGAAGGTCACCATTGGTCTCCCTCCCGATCAGGGCACATGCTTGGATTTCAGGTTCAAACTGCATGCAAGAGGCAACCAGTCGATATTTCTCACAGTGATGTTTATCCCTTCCCCGCTTTAAAAAAAATCTGGGCCAATTGTTTTTAAGATCTACCTTTAGATTTTTCTGAAAAAATTATTATTAGATTTAGATTAATATTCTGGGGAAAAATGTGCCATTGGAGATGCTATGCCATATAAACATTAAGAAAAAATGGTAAAACAATGGACACGCACACTACTCTGATTCGATAGAAGGTCCACTTTGACTTTTCAGGACTCGTTGCTTTAATTTTGTACTGATAGGTTATTTCTAAGTCATTTGATACTCAAATAGAGCAGACATCAGTAAATAATATTTTATTCAAACCACTGAACATCGTTTAGAACAACAAAAATACTCTCTTTTTAAATTGATCAGTTTCTTTTGAGTTCGTAACAGTTTTGGGAGCTGATAAAATCAAGTTTCTAATTTACAAAGCTAAGAGCCAGGTCGTAATAATACTTACCTCACAGCATTGAGGTGAGAATTACTTGAGATGTGAATGGAAATAAAATGTCACTTACAATAATATACTCTATGAAGGGTCTCTATTAATAATCAACCCTTCCCAGGTGTTTACTTCTAAAAACCACATATATAACATATGCTACTGTATCTGGCAATGTTGTGACTATTTTATGAATATTAATCTTTGTAGCCGTCCTTCTAGTTGGGTACTATTACTATCCCCATTGACAGGTGAGGAAAACTGAGGTACAGAGAAGATAAATAATGTTTCCAAAGTTACACTGTGAGAGATAGTATTTCCAACTGTTTACTTATAAGACCGTACTTGAAAACAGGCCGCCTGTATAGCTCCAATCTGTGCTTAAGAATGGTTTCCATTCAGCTGCTCTTTTAAATAATGCGTGTGTCTCCATTACTTCTGTTTCAGAGAGAAGAGGTGCTCCCACACGGGGACTCATGAAGGCATAGAGCATCTAGAGACTTACTGCCTCCGTTACGCTGCTGGGTCTCACAGCACTTGTTATGTTTTTATCAGTTTCTCTCCAGAAGGTAGGAACTGTGGTTTCTTTCTCTCTTGGAATTATTTTATATAATTATGGTTTTCTTATCAGTGAATTGAACTTTTATTAAATATGGAAAACATCTTCTGCATCTGTAGAGTAAAATGCCAAAGAGTTAAGACATACCTTGCCTCTAAAAACATATTTCTATTATAAAATTAAAATGTTCATTTAAAAAATTATCTATATGACGGTACAGAAAAGTATAGGTATCCTACCACCTTGAGACAACTATTCTTTATATTTTATTATATGTCTCTCTGAATTTATTGATACACATGTTTATGTATAACATATGTGTCTACATAACTATTATGATTATGGCTAGCCACAATAGGATAAGTATGCTCTTTGGCTAGACTGCTTCTTTCACTTAGCAAGTTGTGGCAATCTTCATCCACATTACCACTGTCAGTGGTTGCATAGTATTCTAATTTAAGGATATAGCCTAAGTCATGTAACCACTTTCCAATTACTGAGCATTTGGGATCTTTTTCAACTTCTCCCTGTGGTTACATGCCTTCAGTGAATGTACTTGTACATACATCATTAAATTCATGCCTTGTGATTTTTTTAGGACAATTTCCAAAAGTAAGCTTTGCAGAACCTTGGTTCCTAGGCGTGCTCGCTGATGGAAGGGTTCCATGATGTAGAATGTAAGGAAACACTATTGTTCTCCAGCTTAGAGAATACCAATGTGTAGTATACTAAGGTCTTCCAAATCAAACTTACTTGATTATAGAATCCTTTCTTAAAATAACACCTGTCTGTGGGATTTTGAACATTAGAGAAATTGTACATGTGCGTGGGGAATATAAGAAAATTTTTTGTACTTTCTGCTCAACTTGTCTGAGTCCAAAACTTCTCTAAAAAATAAAGTCTATTTTTATAAAGGCAAAGGAAAAAAATTTTAAGGAGAAAAAATTTAAGTGCCACTGTATAAATTTACATTTAAAATTAAATTTAGACTTGAACACACATATACAAAGTAACATCTGACAACATCCATTGAACACTTTGGAAAATATTAGTTTATGATACATTCTTAAAATAGAATTGGTGGATCAAAAGGTAATTATTAAAAATCTCTACCAAGTTTCATCTTTACCAGTAGTTTATGTAAGAGTGCCACTTTCTCTGTAGTTTTGTTATTTGATATTAACTGTTTTTGTTTTTAAATAAATCTGAAATGAGAAAAGTATATGGCATTTTAACATTCATTAGCCATATTTTTTGGACTATAAGACGCACCCCACCCCACAATCTGGGAGGAGAGGGGTGCATCTTATAGTCCGAATGTAGCTCACCTGGCTTGCCACTGCAGGGGGCGGCGGTACAGCGGGGTCACAGGTTATTACATATTTCACCACATTTTTTGCTTCAAAAATTTTTTTCTACTTTCTTCCTCTAAAACCCAGGTGCTTCTTATGGTGTGGTGCATCTTATAATCCTAAAAATACAGTACTTGATTATTTGTAAAATAAATGTCTTTTTGTATTTTTATTTGTCCTTATATTTCTTTTAGGACCATCTCATTCATGCTCCATTCCAAATTTTTCTTGGGCTTTTTCATGGTTTTTCTGGATTGCAAGGAATCAGTCATTATTAAGAATATGAACGCTGCAAATTTTGTTATATAATTATTTCCCATGTTTTCATTTGTTTATGTTTTATTTTGTTTTGATTTTATGTGCTTCATTTCTGCCATGTAAGGTTAGCATGTTTATGAAGTTGAATCTGTGTGTCATCATCTATTCTACACAGATTCTGGTTTTGGTGTCTGTATGTTCAGTGTCTTTTTCTTTAAAAACTTAATTTTTTTGGATAGTTTGAAATAGAAGATTTGGCAGAATTGTATAATTAACCCCCATGTACCTCAGTCTGGCTTTAGTAATTAAGAACTCATGGCTAATCTTGTTTTTTTTAACCACCTGTATTATTGGAAGTAAATTCAGACACCAGGTTACTCCATCTTTTAATGTTTCAGTATGAGAGTGACTCTAAGGATCATTTTACCTAACCTGTACTTTACATCTGCCATAGCTTTTCTTGCTGAAATCATTGACTGCCGGTACAAAATAGTTACAATGTTATACCAAACATCAGCATTAGCTAAGACCTGTGTTATCTAATTTAGGATTTTAAAGTAGCCTCTATAAGAATTAAATTATACTAAGTAGTTGTGACCAAAAAAAAATGTGTTTCTCATTACTCATGCATTACTTTCTTTGTTTTTGTTTTGTTTTTGACCCATATTTTTTGTTATTAAAGTCATTTTTTTGTATTTTTAGGGGTTTTTTTGCTGTTAATTACTGTTGTCCCCATTTTGCTCCCGTTACTCTCCCCTGCTCTACCTACCCCCTCACCTCCCACATTCAGTCCTCCCTGCCCCATTGTCTTTGTCCACCCATTGTTTATACATGTTCCTTGACTGGACCCTTCCCCTTTTCACTGTTATCCCCCTCCTTCCTCCCCTCTGGTCATTGTCAGTTTCTTCTTTATTTCATGTCTCTGGTTCTATTTTGCTCACTTGTTTGTTTCATTGATTAGCTTCCACTTATGGGTGAGATCATATGGTATTTGTCTTTCACCACCTGGCTTATTTCACTTAGCATGATGCCCTCCAGTTCCATCCATGCTGTTGCAAAGGGTAGGAGCTCCTTCTTTCTGCTGTGTAGTATTTCATTATGTAAATTACCCCAGTTTTTTGATCCACTCATTTACTCATGGGCACTTAGGCTGTTTCCAGCACTTGGCTATTGTAAATAACTTTGCTAAAAAGCAGTTTTCCATTTTTACTAAATGCCTTATTAGAAGCTATAACTTTTTTGAAGTTTTTTTAAAGATTTTATTTATCTTTTAGAGGGGAAAGGAAGGAGAGAGGGAGAGAAATATCAATGTATGGTTGCCTCTCGTGCATCCCCTGCTGGGAACTGGCCTGCAAGCCAGGCATGTGCCCTGACTGGGAATCCAACCTTGATCCTTTGGTTCGCAGGCTCGTGCTCAATCCACTGAGCTACACCAGCCAGGGCAGAACTTTTTATACCATGATATAAACATTTTTCTGTCCTCAGAAGCCACTCTCCTAAGTTGTGGGTTGTTTCACTGTATTAATAGAGACTTTTCCAAACTCTACAGTAAAAATACATATGCTTCTCCAGAGATGTAACAGATTTTTTTTAATCCTTGGATTAGATGGAATACAAAGTTTTACATGTTTGTGTGATTAATATTTCATTAGTTTTTAAGGTATCAGTTGTGAAGAAAGCAGTACTTTCTTAGGGTCTTCTGTGGGGTTTGATAGTGAATATTATAGTTCATTGTAGGAAATTAGGAAAATATCTCATTATTACGAATGCCAGGAAGAGTACAGAATATCATCAGATGGCTCTTATTCAAAGAAGATGCAAAAAACAAACTTGGTCTCAACTAGAAATAGAATGATCAATCTATGAAAAGCAGAGAAGAAAAATAAATGTGAACCTTAATCATAGCTGAGTAAAATCATATAAGTTTTAATAGTTAATAGAGTAGGTTAATATTGTCAGATCATACTATTTTATGAATGAGAAAGCAAAAGAACAAGAGTTTAAATCCAGTTAGTCCAAAGTCATGCAGTGTGTTTTTCCAGTTTTCTCAGAAGGCAGTCAATAAGTAAATGAAAGGTTCTTTTTTTTAAAATAATATATTTTATTGATTATGCTGTTACAGTTGTTCTAGTTTCCTCCTTCATTCCTCTCCACCCTGCATACCCCCTCCCCCACCATTTATGACCACATGTCTCAAGTTCTTTAGACTTTATATTTGCCCTCCTCCCTATTTTCTACCTACCGTCTATACTACTTATTTTCTGTACCTTCTCCCCCCTTCTCCTTCTCCCACTCCCCTGTTGCTAACGCTGCATGTGATCTTCATTTCTGTGGTTCCACTCCTGATCTAGCTGTCCTCTTAGTTTGTTTTTGCTTTAGGTGTGGTTCTTAATAACTGTGAGTTTGCTGTCCTTTCACTGTTCATCTTTTTTATTTTCTTTTTCTTAGTAATCTTTAACATTTCATATAATAAGGGCTTGGTGATGATGAACTCCTTGAATTTGATCTTATCTGAGAAGCACTTTATCTGTCCTTCCATTCTAAATGAAAGCTTTGCTGGATAGATCAATCTTGGATGTAGGTCTTTGGATTTCATGACTTGGAATACTTCTTTCCAGCCCCTTCTTGCCTATAAGGTCTCTTTTGAGAAATCAGTTGACAGTCTGATGGGAACTCCTTTGTAGGTGACTGTCCCCTTATCTCTTGCTGCTTCTAGAATTCTCTCCTTCATTTTAGTCTTGGCTAATGTAATTATGATGTGCCTTGGTGTGTTCCTTCTTGGGTCTAACCTCTTTGGGACTCTCTGAGCTTCCTGGGTTTCCTGGAAGTCTATTTCCTTTGCCAGACTGGGGAAGTTCTCCTTTATTATTTGTTCAAATAAGTTTTCCACTCGTGGCTATTCCTCTTCCCCTTCTGGTACCCCTATAATTCGGATGTTGGAATGTTTAAAGATGTCCTGAAGGTTCCTAAGCCTCTCATTTTTTTGAATTCTTGTTTCTTCATTCTTTTCTGTTTGGTCGTTTTTTTTTCCTCTTTCTGGTCCACTCCTTTGATTTGAGTCCCAGTTTTCTTTTCATTACTATTGGTTTCCTGTGCATTTCCCTTCATTTCAGTTAGTTTAGCCTTCATATGTTCCTCTAATTTGTGACTAAAATCAACCAGTTCTGTGAGCATCCTGATCACCAGTGTTTTGAACTGTGCATCTGAAAGTTTGGCTATTTCTTCATTGCTTAAATTTATCGGTTCTGGGGCTCTGAGTTGTTCTTGAGCCCTGTGACAACTAAGGAGCGGAGCCTTAGTTATTCACCAGAGGTGGGGCCACCCAGGTCGCTGGTTTGTGACGTTGTAGGAAGGGGCGGGGTCAGAGAGGGACAATGGTGATCCCCTCTGCCGCTTCCCT